ACTGACCCATGGAAAGAAGCGGGCCAGCTTGGTGCTGGGATGCTACTCGGTTCCAGCTCAGTTTTGATTCCGTCTGCGCAGGACGTCGGGCTGCAAGACGCTCTCACACCAGGCAGCAGAAGCGGGCTGAAGCGCGGGTCCAGAGCGGGGTTGTGGGCGTGATGGAGCACGTGGTGGGCATGGGAGTGCGGGTGTGGGTGACGGGGGTGCATGTGAGGGTACATCTCGTGTACGTGAGGGTATCCCGCTCCACCCTGGGCTCCCAGGCCGTAGTGCCAAGAGTCAGTAAGAGCAGAAGGAGGGGGCAGGCCGGTCTGCGCGAGGCTGTGGCTGCTCCAGATGCCAGTGTCTGCAGGGTAGAAGGCAGCGGTGTGGGGGAAGTCAGGGTGAGAAGAGGTCTGAGATGGGTAGCCGCTACCCCACAGGGACGACGGTAAAGGTTGACCCTCAGAGTGGGAGTTTCCTTCTGAAACACAACAAAGAGCTAGTTCCTCAGTGCCATAATACCTGGATATCTGATTTAAATGGTTTTGTAGTATCCTGTCATAACGCTTAAAATTAAGGTGAAGGTAAAAAGTGATTAAAAATGTAAAAATGTACACTTTTCAATATGGATTTAATAAACTTAAACATAAAATCTTGATGCTGATAAAAAAGGTTTACAAACACAGAATGTGTTTAGCTTAAGCAGCGAAGCTGAATTGACCAATCAGAAACCAGGACTGGAACTATCATGTCTAATAATAATGTTTAACCGATTTTTTCTTGATATTTTGTTATTTTTCTCTTTTAGATTCATGAACATGCACGCAAAGTTTCGACAACCTAATGTGTTGTGGAATGTGTGTACAAAATTTCTATTATGATTATGATGTTCGTTTTAGGGTCAATTTGACCCGCAAATTTCATCGTTAAAGGCAGAAAAAAAATTATGTATTTTGTTATGTTAGTTTTCCAGCTACCCTCTAAGGTTATTTACCTTTACGCATTTGGAAGATGCTTTTATACAAAGAAATTTCCACTGCGTTTATGTTTTTGGCGCACAATTTTGATAGGAATTGAACCCATGATCTTGGCTTAGCTTGTGTCATAATCTTACTGTTTGAGCTTCAGGAAATCACTCAGAACAGGTGCTTTTCCATATAAAAAAAAAAAAAAGTTACAATAGTTACAATGCTGTTTATAAAATGTATCATTTGTGAAAAAAAGATAAATAATTCATGTTTGTGTTTTTTTTTTTGTAATGTGTGAGAACTTTTAAAGGGGTCCTATTATGCTTTTTCACTTTTTCATCATTTGATACAGGAACTATTCGTTCATGCCAGACTGGGGAGAGAGGTGTTGTAATAATGTAAAGTATGTGAAAAATAATGTGTTTTTCGAACAACCTAGTATGAGAGCCTGTTCTAGTACACCCCCAAAACAAAATCAAGACTTTGTAAAAGAGCATAATAGGACCCCTTTAATGTTAATGATTTTTGGTAAATTAAATTGAATTCAATTAGGGCCAATTTGACACACAGATTTTTTATGTAATACAAGGGGTAATAATAAACAAGGGTATAAAATTATAAATTTTTTATGCAAATAAACTATATTTATTTATTAGCACTATTACTGTATTTTAGGATTACAAATATTGTAGATTGCCATAAAACACTGTCTTCTACCTTTCCATGGTCCTCCAGAGTGAAATCTGCCGGTCTTGGCATCATTGCTGAAGGTGCTGGGCTGGCTCAACGCACGTGAGAAATGCTCGTCCACCACATCCCCGATGTCTCCACGGAAATAGGTGAACACCACACACCTGGCACTCAAGTACTCGGCCTCGGCGGGCTGCGTCTCCTTGCAGCGCTCCTCTTCGCCAGCGCTCTGCTCCTCCTCTCGTGGAAGCTCAGGCTCAGGACGGGGCTTCAGCGCTCCAGACTGCTTACTCTGGCCACAGTCAGAGGGAAACTCCTCAGAATCCTGCATCCTGCTGTAGGCACTGAACTTCTTCTGCTGAAAGACACAGATAGAGTTAAATATGAAGAATAACTGGTCAGGGGTTAATAGATGGAGCACACATTCACCACCTGGTCTTCGACTAAAATAGATTGTCGAGGATTGTCTCTGAATTGATGGCCCAGTGCCCACACTTGGCACATTAGTAGTATGCCGATTTACTCCCAAGAAGATTTCCGTACCAGAGACTGTATAATGAAACCGGATGTCATGCGGTTTTATTTGATAACAGTAGCATTTAGATAATAAATCAGTCCGGAGACACCTTCTCATATCATTATTATTATTTTACAGTTTTTAGAGTAGCTATAAATCTATAAATGGAAGTTTGGGAATGACTAAAATGTCAAAGGAAAAATATGCTTCATGAACTGCATCCTGAGATGTTTTTAGACACTTGTTGACTGCAACTCCAACTCCATTAAATGAAGTGTATTTTAATTTTTTATTATTTTTAGTTTTGCTTTGTAACAAGTAGACATTTTAAATATTTAATTGAAATATTGAAAATTAAAGTCTACTTGTCAAATAATTAACACATAATGACCACGAATGTAACATTTTTACAGCTGATGCTCGGCTCTAAAGAGCGCTTTTAAACCATCTCAGCATAAATGTCTTAAGCCGAACTTTCTTTTTCTAACTCTTCATCAGTTGTCTGTGTCAGCCCGAATACATGACCTACCTGCTGCTGCTGCTGGTGCTGGTAATATGCCGCTTTGTAAGCCGCTGCTGCTGATGTCGCGGGCAAGTAGTGATGAGCTCCATAACTCTGATGATACATAACATCCAAACTCATAGCAGAGGCTTAGACGATCTCAAGAGGCTCTTCAGCAACACGGCAGCTTCCTCAACCAGAGATAAATGTGGTCATGATTCCCTCCAATATAAACCCTGAGCGTTGACAAAAGCGCCGCAGTTTGTGAAAAAAAATATTAGCATAAAAACAAAAGTGTCCCCATCGAGGCTTCACCACCTACAGACAGACAGCGGATCAAAGCAGAGCGACAGGCGCGAGCTGCCCGTGAAAGTTACAGCAGCTTCTCTGATTGGTGGGAAGTTTGGAGCGCTAAGATCTGATTGGTGAAACCGAGGCTTCGCTGAATAAACTGAAATATTCATAAACCACTAGGCTACTTTACTAGTAAGTGGGTAGAAAAAGGCAAACTGCTTGCTAATGAGTTAACTTGTAAACGCTCAAAGCTAACATTTAAACAATGCTTAACAGGTTGTCAAGAGCATTACGCCTTTATTTGCATTCTTAATTTTCGTTTATGTCACTGTGGCGTATGGGCTGATATAAATTTTGACTCTGGCAATATGTTAAGTGCTTGAGGGGGAAATTGTAATAACGGAGGTTTTGTTTTATGTCCTCATAATTAGCGATGTTTTAGGTAGGTTTGCATTAGGCATGTGCTGCCACCTGCTGTAGACCAACTGAGTGTCCAAACCAGAATTCACTGCCTGACGTTGCTGTTGTGAGAAAATATGTTTTTCTTTAAGATTTTACAATAAAATATATTTACAATTAAATATCAGACAAAGAATGCATCCTTTAGCTTTAATACATTTTTGTCTTAATAAACTACATCGTGTCATTTCAAAATTAATAATATTAATAATTAATAAGAAGAATACGTTATTAAATTATTATTAAATTATGGTAAAGCTAGCTAAAAAAAAAGTAAGAGGTTGACAGTTTTTATATTTCTAAAAATATCAATTTGTCAATAATCAATTGTTTACAGTACAAAATCATGGCAGAGAATGATTAATTATAAGAGAATTATGCTATTATGACAGGGTTTTTTTTTAGGATAGAAACACTGTAAGACAGATTTGGGAACCAGATTAATCCATAACAAGGGAACACAACTTCAAGTCTTTAAAATAAAGAAGATAAACAAAATACTGCTCCATACTCCATGGTCTTTATTTTCATTTTAATTAAAATGTGAATCTTTCTTAATAAAGGGAGAGAGAAATTGGAAACAAAGGGAAGGGGATAGGAGTAACAAGAAACAGGGTTATATCACAAATATAAAAAATATATATATATATGTGAAAAAATGTGTGCTTATTTAATGAAAAATCACTGTAATAACACAAAACAATTATGTGTGTCAGTTAATCATTGTTAAATTCATGCATATCTGAATAAGGGATACAAAAGGCACATGACCCATTTTCCATTTGCAAACAAGGCAAAACTGATTATATTCATGGTCTATTATAAAGTAATGGATTGACATTTTGATCATTTTATCAACATTTTATTATCATATCAATGAACCAACAATCACTTAAAAAAAATAAAGCTGTAGTCAGCTTCAGAACAGAAGAACAGTGTCAGAACATTTGTCCATTGTAACAAAGCCACCTAATGTGATGGGGAGCGTTTAGAAAAGACAAGATGGTTCATTATATTATTAATTTGCTCTGCCCAGCTCTGTTCCCAGTTGTTGTTTGATCTCATCTACTCATGTAGACAGGGCTGAACATGTGAAATGATTTGTGCACTCTGATGGCTAGACACTACGCAGAAAGAGATGTGAATAAATGAGTGGTGTTGTGATACTAAGTTGATCTAGGGCACAGTCTGAGTAGGGACTTACAGCTACGACAGGACAAACACACACATGCTTTCAGTGCAGTGCAGTGAAGTCTTCTCTTGTCGATCCAAGTTAATACTACAGGCTGAACTGAATGAATCTCACCACAGTGTTTCTTCATCTAATACACACTTTCCTGTGATATAACTCTTATGATAATTCTTAACATGTTTATCATTTTTAAAATAAGCGTTTGAGTAGGAAACACAGAAGATATATAGTAGTGAATTTGTTTTCTCTCTCTCTCTCTGCCTCACAGCTCACAAAGGATGCTTCAAAGGCTAAAGACTCCACTGACACACATTTTGTCAAATCCCCCATGCGGTGGAGTCATTTTACTTGAGAACAAAGGAAATTAAAGTACAATAAAATAAAGTTTGATCAAAAAATTCCTTCTTTTTAAAATCCTTAGAGCTGCGTACCATTGCGTTAAAACTTGCGTATATATATATACATACATATATATATATATACACTCTAAAAAATGCTGGGTTAAATATAACCCAGCGCTAGGTTAAAAAGGGACAAACCCAGCTATTGGGTTGTTTTGACCCAGCGGTTGGGTTCAAAACAACCC